TCTCTTGCACACAAACACACACACTCTCACACACAGAGACACATCTCACACACATACACACACACACACACACACACACACTCTCTCTCACACACACACACACACACACACACACACACACACACACACACACACACACACACACACACACACACACTCTCACACACACACACACACACACTCCCTCTCTCTCACAGAAACACACTCTCTCTCTCTCTCTCTCTCTCTCTCTCTCTCTCTATCTCTCTCTCTCTCTCTCTCTCACACACACACACACACACACACACTCTCTCTCTCTCTCTTTCTCTCTCACACACACTCTCACACACAGACACACACTCACTCTCTCACACACTCTCTCACACACAGACACACACACACACACACACACACACACACACACACACACACACACACACACACACACTCTCTCTCTCTCTCACACACACATACAAACACACACACTATCTCTCTAACACACACACACACACACACACACACACACACACACACACTCCCTCTCTCTCACACACAGAAACACACACACACACACACACACACACACACCCTCTCTCACACACACACACCCTCTCTCACACACACACACACTCACACACACACACACACACACACACACACACACACACACACACACACACACACACACACACACGACCAAGGCCTTTGCCCACCTAACCATTGTTTTTATGGGTGAACCTCCCATTGATTGATGTCATACATCTCATTTAGTTTTTCTACACCTCACACTCTTCAAAACCACACACCCCTTCAAAAGAAAAGCCCTATAGATGTAATGCGACTTGAACTTATCCTGTTAAGCCCTGAGCCTGTTTTTCAGGTTTCAGACTCGAAAATGCTATGCCCAAAACAAATGACTAAAACGTAACTTTTAAAAGGGTTATATGTATAATGTCTTTTATCAAAGCAAGGTTTCATCTGTGAGTTGGGTGTAGAAGTGTCAGAATCAATATAGATGTTTCTGTGTCAGAGTAAATTCAGATGGAACATAGTAAAAAAAGGTAAATTCTTACCTCCGCCTAAAAAAAAAACATTACTTACATTGAAAACCACCCTTGAATGATGGGATGGTAGACTAAAAGCTTTACGAATCCAAAGTATAACATTTAATAAGTACCATGTCTCAAGATTGAGGCAAAACAAGTGAAATCTGACCTTTTTAGAGAGGTTTAGCAAAAGAAAGTCCAGGCGGGCTGACCTTTGGGCACATTTTGGCACATTTGGATACCATCAGTGCCATTTGACCTTTTTCAGGTACCATACTGTAAAAATAATTTTATTATCACTATAGGTAATCATTCCATCCAAATACAAGTGTTTTTATAAAAACAAATGTTTTAATTTATTTTTTTATTTTTTTAAATTACATTTCCTTTTTTTAATGTAAATGGTGTGTTTGTGTGTGTCTGTGTGTGGACTTTGCCACAGTCCTTACATGTTTATCACCCGACTAACACTTCTAGGCAGGTTTACTTACACAATAAAAATTAGGAAACATAGGATAAATTTGTCTCCAACAAAAAATCTTTTCCCAGGGGTGCATACCCCCGGACCCCCCTAGAGGATGTGACGTCCACCCCCCAATTCGCACATGTTCATACACAATACTGAATACATTTCAAGCCATTTTGACGTATATTACCTATGTCCATAAGTTTCTGTTTTTGTAGTGTATTTGTCTTTAGTAGAGATTTTTCATTTATTCTTTATATATAAAATCTCGCCCAGGGCAGCAAATTGGCTAGAACCAGCCCTGGTACTAGGCCTCAAGAGCTTTTCTTGTGCTGGCAGACACATAGAAACAAATTGGCGGGGCGCACTTCGCACGCGCACACACTAAAAAAACCACGAGCTCCGCGCTCACATTATGCTAGGCCCACCCGCCTTAGCACCGCTGCTATGACTCCATCCTAGGGGAAACACTGAAATAGATTACTTCACTGGCTTATTCTTTCAAAAATGTAACTCAAATCAAAAATTATTCCTCCATTTAGCGTGTGTGAAATAACAGTATACACATGTATATATATATAGACTGATATACAATACAGCTTTATTTATAAACTGCTAATAGTCAATGTCTGTCGAACTACAAAACAGCATCCATTTGGCGTGTGTGAAATAACAGTATATATATATATATATACTGGGTTGATATACAATACAGCTTTATTTATATACTGCCGTGTTATAGTCTATATATATATATATATACTGTTATTTCACACACGCCAAATGGATGCTGTNTAGCCACATTGGTAATTTAGCTAAAAAGATAGCCATATTAGACAGTTATCATTGCCATTAATTGGCTCGTCAAACTAAGAAAACGTTTGTTTTTCACAAAATAAATTACACTTGTTTGACTTAGATTTGAGGGCATGGGCTTGAGCATGATGTAATTATGTTATCTATCACATTCGCTAATCTGTCTGTCTTTAAATTCTTTAAACAGCTCTGGATGCCGGTCGGCGGGTGCTTAGCCAAGTTTGATGTGTTGGCTCCCTTGGTTTGCAGGGATCTAAAACATGTCTGACAGAGAGGCCTCGTGGTGTCCGTAGGCTTGCCCTCACTGTCAGAGATATAGCTAAAATACTTCCAAATTTCGCTTCTGGAGTCTTTTTTGTCAACAAGCCGAGGCGCAGCGGCAGTTGCANTTGTAGTGTATTTGTCTTTAGTAGAGATGTTTCATTTATTCTTTATATATAAAATCTCGCCTAAGGCAGCAAATTGACTAGAACCGGCCCTGGTACTAGGCCTCAAGAGCCTTTCTTGTGCTGGCAGATACATAGAAACAAATTGGCGGGGCGCACTTTGCACGCGCACACACTAAAAAAATCCACGAGCTCCGCGCTCACATTATGCTGGGCCCACGTGCCTTAGTACCGCTGCTCTGACTACATCCTAGGGGAAACACTGACCTTTATGTCGCTGAGATTTCCGATATTTCCATGGTAACGCCCATGGAAGGATCTTTGCCGAGTCTGTGTAGTGTGATTGATTCTCCGGGGACCCGTGGAGTTTTGTGTTTCAGCAACAACGGCACTATCCCTGCCGCTGCTGCGTAGCTCTCACATTGGTCTCACTTTCATTACTGTATCAGGTTTGGATTTGTTGTTCCTTCTCTTTAACATCTACATGCTACCACTGGCTCAGATAATGAAGAACAACAAAATAAGTTACCATAGCTATGCGGATGACACACAAATTTACGTAACAATTTCACCAGGAGACTATGCTCCAATTCAAACACTGAGTAAGTGCATTGAAAAAATCAATGACTGGATGTGTCAGAACTTTCTCCAATTAAACAAAGATAAAACTGAGGTAATGGTTTTTGGAGCCAAGGCAGAACGTATAAAAACTTTTATACGTTCTGCCTTGGCTCCAAAAACCATTACCTCAGTTTTATCTTTGTTTAATTGGAGAAAGTTCTGACACATCCAGTCATTGATTTTTTCAATGCNCACTTTGTGAGTTCCCTGACACACCGGGGACATATTTATGTATAAAAGACATAAAAAAGTGCATTTTGCATGATAGGACACCTTTAAGCTGAAGTTCCTTTTAAAGATAATTTTTACACTCATCATGAGAGAGCAAGTTGACACTGCTTGTGTAGAATTTGTTCTTGTAAGAGATGTAACTGTTGATGCACATATTGGTACTACTGGGTAAATAAGCAGAATAAATTGCCATTACGGATGACAAAAGAGTACACCATGATTCCTTGGAGGATATGATCCTTTTATCAGCCCTTTAAAAAGCATTTGTTTTGCCATGAGACTGTTTTTGCCATTTCCCACTTTCTTTGGAGAATGAAATGCTTTATGCCCTCTGAAAGGGTCAGAGAGCGGCATCACCGAATGTAGTTCATACGTTACACAAGCATTTGCAGAGCAGTTCCCAAGTATCTAAAGTAAATATCTTATTTGAGCTTAGTTCTGTTCTTTTTGTAAGAACTACAAATGTCCAGATTCAGGGGCACAATAGAGTGTGGAGAATAAGATAGTTTGGAATTTATTTGCCTACACTTCATTTTTTTTAAAGAAATATCTTAAGAATAATAAAAAATGTTTTTAGGCAATTTATGTTTTTCCCATTCTGCTTACAGGAGACATAATGAGGCATAAAGAAGATATGCCAGAGGGACTGACCTGAAACAGAGTTAATGAGGCGGGGAACATCACTGGACATGTCTGGCTTTGCTGCACTTTTAATAGTAAGTAAGCGCTTTGCCTCATCAGTCTGTGATGCAGCATTATTTTGTAGTACAGCACATCTGTAAAAAAAAATTGCTCCCCATATTCTAGCATTTGCCCTATTTTCTGATGACAGCTCCATCCCTCTGGACTGAACACACAGAGATCTAGTTTATGACCTATTTGTGAGGTCAGAAGACAGCTCGGACCTCCTGCTCCCCCCCTCCCCAGGCCATCGGCTCCCCAGAGGAGGAGCGGAGGTGGTGGGCAGATGCCTCGTAATCAATTTGGCCAAAGACCCATAACGACCTCGGCTGTAATTATTTCGTGTTTTTGGCCCTCTGTCCCCATCCAAACATCACCGCTGCCTGTCGCTGCGCTGCCAGTAGGTCAGGCCTCAAAGGCTTTTTATTACTTAATATGTTTATTTTTAACTTTTATTTGACTTGAGCGTTTGACGTAGATTGCTTTTGAATTCAATTTAATTGAATGAGCACTACATGTTCAGGGCATGATTGTGTATGCAGTTTATTTTGCTGTATCCTGAGGTCCTCCTTGGTCTGGGGGCACCCAGGCACAAAGACAGACTGGAACCACCCACAATTACCACGTGTGTGTGTGTGTGTGTGTGTGTGTGTGTGTGTGTGTGTGTGTGTGTGTGTGTGTGTGTGTGTGTGTGTGTGTGTGTGTGTAAGTAAGGGGGTGAACCCCTCATTACGATGCAGTGTGTCCGCTGCATGAGCTACATGCAGCGGACAAAGAGGGTGCAGCCGCTCTGCAGTGTGAGGTGGGCTGTCACGGCCTCAGCTTCAGTCCTGCCAGGCTCAGGGAGGGGGGGAGGGGAGCTCTCTCTCAGCAGCAGCCTATCAGATCCAATTAGCCACCAAAACATGTTGGAGGGGAATCAAGCCAAAAAGAGAAGATGTCACTCTAACAGTGGTGACCAATTCTACTACATCTCTTAGACTCAGTTTTGGGCAATGTTATCATAACATTTGATGTACAGAGCTAAACAACTATTTTTCTACAAGGAAATTCATTGCAGGTATTTATATTTATTTTTACCTGGTTTTCAAGCTTTAACTTTTTTCTCTAATCCAAACATATGAAAAGAGGTTTAAAAGTTCAATTTGCTTGAAATAATCTGTATTATTATTTTAAATCATATTATTATTTTAAATCTTAATTTTAAAGCAGAATAATAGCTTTTTATGGATACTTAGGGGAATCATAACAAGCTACACATAACTATATCACTTCCTAGAATTGATATGGCGAAAGTGTTAGCAATCATTTGCCTATTAACTGAAATCCCCAAAACACAGAGCAACATATGTCTTTATGTTAAATCATGTTTCTGTCAACTTGACCAATGTAAGGCCAATTTTCCAGCTTTGTGTAGCTCTGTTTTGGTCTCCATCAACTCCTGAGAAGCAATATATTTGCACATGCTAATGTCGTTTGCCAACTTTCATTTGCTTACTACGCCCTTGGCAGGTAGTCAAGAGAAACGTTAAGTTGATATGAGATGAAACTGAAACTGTAAAGCTGAAAAACCAAAACCGTACCCTAAAAAATGCTAAACCCCTAAATAAAGAACTTTAAAATATGGCCAAATATCTCAAGGAGCGATGCCTTGCATGTCAATGATCCCTTTGTTAATATAAAGAATATAAATTAGATAATGTTTAATTGTTGTATACACTGTATACACCCGCAGTAAAATTAACCTTCATGAAGGTAAGGATGTTCAGCTTTTATGTTTAAACCGTTTAAGAGAGGTGTTAATTCAACTGTAAGGTCATTCAAATCATTTTAAATTGACACGTTTACTTTGGGTGTGTGTTGTTCTAAACTAGTCAGGTGATACGTCGGAATTGGCTTCTGTCTTTAAAAAAAAAGAACATCTTGTTTCAAAAATATCTTCTGGTGTGCAGCAGCAAAACAGCTGTACGTGATGTTATTGGCCCTATAGGTTTCACTTCCAGAAAAATAAATGCCTAACCACGTGACTTGAATTCAATGAAAACACAAAATAGAGATATAGAATCTCACAGGCAGCAAAATACAAAATCTCAGCCTTTCTATAGCATTCTTCATCCGCTGATGTTGTGACCGAAGAGAGCATTAGAGCATGTAAAGGGAGGAGGGTGGTTAGGGGAGGAGCTGAGAGAGGGAGAAAGAGAGGGGAAGAGGCGGACACTCAGCGGCAGTAGCAGGTTTGTGAGAGCAGCAGAACAGAGGAGGAGGAAGAAGAAGGAAGGAGGAGGAATCAGAGCGAGAGAAACCGTGTGGCTGCAGTCAGGAGGGACACACACACTGAGAGAGCGAAAGAGGAGGAGAGACAGAGAGACGGTAAGCAGGCCATGTTTGTCTAACGCCTTGGTTTCCAGGCTGAACACGAGGAATTGGACAAGCTGCTATCCATCCAGGGAGTGTTTTCCTTTTTCTTTCTCCGTCAGGCGGCAGGATGTATGAGAGGAGAGCAGAGAGCCGTAGCACTGCAGAGGGATGCAGAGAGATGGAGGAGAGAAAACAAGGGAGGGAGGGAGGGAGGGAGGGATGAAGGGCTGGCATTATGCTCCATAGACATTAGGAAGTAAGAGAGGAGAGAAAAAGAGCAACTGAAGGCAGTAAACATCTGCCTGTGCTGTGATGTGCAGCAGTGAGGGAGTGGGTGTATGGAGGTTGGGGAGAGGGGCTTAGCATTTGAGTGACAGTATGCAGGAGTGTGTCGGCTGTCAACATCATTATTTTTCCCTCCGTGTTGGGGATGATATAAGTTTCTAATGGACCACACCCGGCCTCTGAGATTATACGATGGGTGCAGCTGGGGAAGGTGTGTGCGTGCGCGTGTGAAAGGCATGTTGGGTGCTGGCCAAACATGCTTACTGTTGCCTCCCATTACTGTCAGGGCACTGGATTAGTAGCGTGAGAGCGATGTTCATTCTCGAAGCAGTGAGGAGTCGAGCCAAGACACTCCATGTCCTGACCGAGATGTTGTCACTCAGCTGTGTGTGTGTCTTTGTGTGTGGACACGTATGTGTATATATACCATCCACCAGTGTGTGTTATTTGCCTGTGTTGTGTAAGCATGCATGCAGTGAAAGGCTGCAGTGCAAAACGATCATCCAACCTCTTGCTCCTTTCCTCACTGCTCGGTTAAATTGTATCCTGTTTTGTGACTGCAGAAATAATATCCTCCACCATATTGTAAAAGCATGTCGCTCAGACAGGAGCAGGGTCTCGTCGTCTTGGCGAAGGGAAACAGTCTCTGAGATGCAGCCTGCTGAGAACAGCTTGACCAAGCATTTGTTGTTTTACCATCTCGATGCCAAGGCACATTTTCACAGCATTGTAGACAATACATTTAAAAAAAGAGCTGTTAGGATTGAGAAGGTGTTTCTGATGAACCCTCTACTCCTCACAGGCATCACGATAACCGGCACAGATGGCACATTTTGTCTTCAGCAGCTTTTCGATATGCATAGAGGGCTGCAGAGGCATATTCTCCCAGAACATAAACAATGGAGACTGTTTCCCTAACAAGAATAACAGTCTGAGTTGTTTCTATAAAACAACACATGTTTATATTACTTGGCGAAGTGGCTGTAGTGATTGTATTGGAGAAAAAGAGGAAGTCAGGTGATGGTGTTACAGATCAACACATATTGGTTAAGATGGGAGACTGTTGTTCAATTTGTGTTTCCAACCAACAGACAGCGTTGTTTTTAAAGCTAGACTGGTCGTCCCCTAACCTGGACAAAATAGTAATTAAAACCCAATCCCATGGTCTGTCATAAAACCTTGTCAAGTCTTGTTTTTGCCTTAACTTTGTGGGGAAATAAAACTGCTCTGTTATGGTTAGACACAGATTATCATCCACCAGAAACGTAGACATTGTAGAATAATGTAGAACACAATGTAGAAGTAGACCCCAGCCTCTTCTATAATTATCCATCCCAACTTCCTTCCTAAAAGCTAGAGTAGGATGAAGTAGGATTTTGTTGGTTGTGTGTTCCTATTGGTTGATGGCTGTAAAACTACTTATCAATATAATCACATGATGTGTGGATAAAATAACTGAGATTTACATGGTGTTATTTTGGTTTACAGCTCTCTTATTTAGCGCAGGATCATGTTATTAATGCACTGACAGCGGTACTAATGGATGATCTGTCTGCAATTCAGCGAAATGAGTCTAGATGAACGTTGTATGACGCAGGCTGTTATCTGATCAGCTGACTTCTTCTGACCTCACTGAGGCTCCATCATGTTTGTGTGATCTGCAGCTAAGCTCTTAACTAGATTTGAACTGAAAAAGTCTTTTTTTTCTGCTTGGATGAAATGCAAAAAGTGTGATGATTATTTATGGCTCAGTGACGTTTTGTTGATTTGATGTTTGTAGTCATGTTTTTGAAGTGATGTAAGATAGCAGGAGTGCTGTTCTTTCTGAAGGACTGTCTGAGCCAGGAGCACCTGTTTACTAGTATAGTTGTATAAGACAAGATAAGGATAATGGTGTCATCTATACAGAGCAGTAATACATAGAGAAACAAAATGGTGTTTTCCTCCTGGTGCAAGACATAAGAGCATCAGCATGAACTGCAAAAAACAAGATTTAAAACGGGTACAATAGAATCTCAGGAAACAAATCATTAGGCTGTATGTATGTGGATTCCAACTTTGATACACAAATGTATATTACTGATTAATTTGAAAACTATGAAGAGAATCTAGCTTTTTCGTACCATCAATTGTATACAACTCTTCACTGCCCCACTAAAAACTACAGTACAATAGAGCTTTGGGATGTTTGTACTAACTACTTATGTCTCTTTACTGATTCCAATAGTGATTCTTCCAACAGCCTATAGTTCCGATCAAACTGCAACTATGGAAAACGACATTCTTTTCTTCCCCTAAAATTCGACCACAGTTACCTCAATCTATCCCCTTCTTCCTTAAAGGGGACCTATCATGCAAAATGCACTTTTGCACGTCTTTTATACATGAATATGTGTCCCCGGTGTTCCAGGGAACTCACCAAGTGTCAGAAAATACAACCCTCTCTCTTTTCCTCCATACCCAAATCTCTAAAAACGGGGCTGCAACGGATCTGATACATGTGGATTCTGATTTGCACCTCTATGATGTCACAGAGGTGCACTCCGCCTGTATGGTCAACTCTCCACCTATCAGGGGAATGAGAGGTTGCCGTGGCATGGCAACAGCATAGCAACAGCATGGCTCCAGCTCATGCAAAGACAGAGCTGGAGTGAGGCAAAATGAGGCATGGCTAAAATGCATGATCTGTTTGGTATTTTGAAAAATAAAACTCATAAATATACCGTATATAGGTTTGGCCCTACAATATATTATTCAAATATAGCATGATAGGTCCCCTTTAATATAACCCCACTCAATTTAAAAGTTCTCCCACAATGCCCCTCAGTGATGACATCACCACGTCGTCATAAACTCAGACCATGTTGTCATTCTTCCAGGACAGTTAGTTGTAATAAGAGATGTAATAACCACACACTTTGATTCTTTAAAACATGTAATTTCGAAATGCATGTAATATCAGTTGAAATGTAAAAAAAGGTAGTTTCCCTGAACTAATCCTAAATAAATTTAAAAGGGTTTTCTCCTCAGTTTCTTTAGTTTTCATCAAATCGGGTGATCCTCCTAAGGCATCAAAAGGTCCGGAACTGTCCAGTGCTCACAGTCATGAGTCAGACCCTCATGTATTTACCCTGTAGTAGCAATCTATTCAAATGTATTCCCAAAAGAAAACGTTTTGTCTCGATATCCCTTCCCTGGGATATGTACTGTAAAATGTCCTCATAAATCACCAAAATCAGATTACTCCACATTGAGTCCATGCATTCTCTATATTACAAGTTTATTCCATACTCTGAAGAGTTTGAACGTGTTTTGGCCTAGATGTGTTTCCATTGTATGAAAAGCTTCTTATTTTTACTCAGATTTTGCTGTAGATGTTTATTTGCAATTCACTTCAAAAAAATATTCACAACAAAAAAGACTTAAATATGTGTTGGAAATAAAGGAGGATAGTGGCAATAAATATGATAATGAACAACATATAATGAGAAGCACAGAGCTTTTAATAACATTCCATTCGTGTAAAGTCCTCCATTGTGATATCAAATCCATTCACACAATATCTTTAAAGTACTATAATTGTGCACTTTGAACCTTACAGTGTGAGACATTCCATTGTTTTGCCCATTTATTCCACTCAAATCTACAATTTCATAAGATGGATGGGAGAAGACGGTAGGAAACCTTTGAAGGGTGTCTTTGCTGAAGATGTTTGTTATTGTTATAAAACATCAGTGAAAGTAATTATTGATATGCAGAGTGAAGAACTTTGCCATTCATAGAGACGCTGTATTGACAACGATTTGTATTCCATCCTCTCCGAGTAAAATATAGTGAGGTTTTGTGGAGAAAATCCTTGCTGACACTTGAAAAAGACTCTCTCTTGTGTGTTGAACCCACTGATTCTCCTGACAGAACAAAGGCAAAAAAGAAGAGCAGCCTCCCTCCTCATCTACTCCTCATCCCTCTTTCTGGCTCTGTAATATGTTCTCTGTGCATTATTCATGAGCTCATTGCTGTCTCACTCTGTCTCTGCTGAGGTTAATCATATTCTGATTATGTACCTTCAAAGCACAAGGATACACTTTAGAAATGCTTTGGGAGGAGAGAGAAAAGTGCATTCCCGGTTGCCTTAAAGCAGCCGTATAGGATGCCTTTCCCCCATCTTTCACACATCTTGATAGACTGTTTGAGATAACCTTTCTTAATCTTCTCTGTCCTTCTCTTCTTAATCTTACCCTGTTTTGTTTAGTTTGTCTGTGTTTCCATTACCAGTCTTTGCTATCTCTCACCTGTTGTCTTGCTGCCACTGCAGTCTGAACACCATACGACCTACAGACACAGATGCTTATCATTAGCCCCAAAATAAACAGGATTTTCTATGTCATTTGTTTCCAGCCGTGTTCCTGTCCCGGCCACCTGCCTGCCTTAGCCCTTTGCTCTTGTATCTGATCATCTTGCCTGCATGTTACTGACTGTACGCTGTCTGTATGCCACTGCTATACACCTGTTTCTCCATACTGTGCATTAGCCCATGTCGTGTCATACAAAACACTGACAGTTCACAAACCTGTTCAGTGTGGAACTTTTTCTATGGCTTCGGTAACCAGCAGTTCATGCTTCTAGATGTATTGATTGAATAGTGGCCATTGAACACAGAAAAACAGTTTTGTAAACATTATTATTCATAAAATGTAGTCTGTATGCAAGGAAATACACCAATACAAGATAGATCATCCGGGCAGGCCTCCATAAAGTGGCAGACCCATAAACAGCCCTACACTGAATTAATCCCTTTATGTTTATTTTATGTATACATACTAAACAGACCACCACAATACTGCCAGACAGCTCAAGCCTCTTTTCTAAATACTGTAGATTCAACACAAGTACATCTTTTGACAGAATAAATATGTGTAGAATATGTAATTCTCTACATAGATGTGTTTTAAAATAATCTCAAACAACATTATTGTAGACCAAAACGGTTTATTTATAATTGTTACCACTTCTTCCAATATGCTAATACTCTTTAGCAGCTTAGTTTTTTTGGATTTGCTGCATTTTTGGTTTTGCTGCTGTTTTTCATCGGTTCCTGGCGTAATATGATGAACTCTTTGGTTTATGTTATTTACTTGTGTTCCCAGTGGCAGGAAGTATGGAGAATATTGATTGGAGTAACGAGATATTGATTGGTGGTGGCTGCAATAATCCAGCAGTGCTTTAGCTGACAGTATCTTTTGACTCACTCCTATATCTGTCAGCATATGAATACAGATGTGTAAAGGAAGTTATTCTACAGTGTATATATACTGCAAGAAAATGTAATGTATTCCATTATACTGAACTAAAATGGTGTTCTTAGTATGCAACTATATAGATAACTGTCCCATACATATATAGTTGTGTGTGAGAGGGTCGTACGTACCGCTGATTTATGAGATGTTAGTTATTCAGAAATTATTTTTACCACAGCTATCTGTCGTACTGGACTTTGCAATGCACTGTTATTGGACATTTTGGAGCAGTCAGAAACAATCCTGCACAGCCACCACCAGATTCTTATTCTACAAAAGGTATAATACTCATAATATTATTGGAGGCTAATCTTTATCTGCAAACAGCATAAATACAGGGTTCAAACGGAAAACAAAAGACTTACTAAAGTATGAAAGCTGCACAGCCTTAATGTTAAAGTGATGAATGAAGCTTAACACCTCCAATTATTTGTTACAGCTCTAGTATTTCCATGTAGGTTTTGTGCCAGATACAATCCCACTCTCCTGCACTCATACACACCATCACAACGCTCACAGGGCCCGCTGAGCCTAGGCGTGATTGATAGTACCAGCATGGGCTGTTTATCTTGGTAGTATGGCTCTATAGAGCCAGCTGACTTGCGCATACACACCTACACGTGCGCATATGAGGTTACTGCACTTCAAAAATAGAAAAACATTTCCTGGATTTACAGCATGAAGCCTACAAGGAGATGATATACGGCTATAATTATAGCACATGGGTCTCCGGATGCCTTTACATCAGTTGTACACGCTCACACAATCAAAAATACCATTACCCTTTTTTTTTTTTTTACCTTTTTGTAAGTATATCCTCTTCGACTGAAAGCATTTGTATGGAAATGTTGATAATACTTTTTCGTTCTCCTCCTCCCAGGTTTCCTCCCCTCTTCACCTCACTGACCCATGAAAGAAGCCATGCCGGTCCTCACAGCAGGAGCGGGTGAGAGGAGTTTGTACAGACGCTCCACACATACTGTCCCGTACTGCTGGAAGCTTGCTGTGGTCCATCTGTTTATGTTAATGAACATGTTGTCTTGTCTTATTCCTCTCCTCTGCAGGGCTTCATGAAACGTTGGCCCTGCTGACCTCTCAGCTGCGGCCCGACGCCAATCACAAAGAGGACATGGTCTTCCTCAAAGACGTCTTCAGTGAGAGGAGCTTGGGGTACCTGATGAAGGTGAGGAAGTGTTAATACTCAGTGCCAAAGTCTGATCTCACAAGTAACATTATTTACATTTAGACATATTATACAGCTTTCTACCATTGTTTTAACATGCACAATTTGAAAATATGCTCAGGAAAAAAGTTTGTTAAGTGGATTTTGTTGGTCCTTTTTAAACTTTGCATTCATTCCTGAAACCCTCCCCTCTAATAGACAGCATGTCATTGTGTTTCAGATCCATGAGAAGTTGAGACAGTATGAGAGACAGAGTCCAACCCCCGTCCTTCACAGTGCCTCATCTCTGGCAGAGGATGTAAGTTCATCACACACACACACACACACACACACACACACACACACACACACACACACACACACACACACACACACACACAGACAGACAGACAGACAGACAGACAGACAGACACACTCTCACACACACACACACACACACACACACACACACACACACACACACACACACACACACACACACACACACACACACACTACCTAAATTATTTTTCCCCACTTGGGCACAGCAGTCAGTCACAATGAGTTAGCCCCGACAGAGAAAGCAATGTAGCTATCAAAAGTGAATTTTAATGTTCTCAAAGTGCTGACTCATCCCGGTGCCCATCTAATGAAACTCCATATCCTGCTGCTCTCTCGCTCTTACCAGTTATCAGCGGGGAAACTGCTGACCTTAGCCACTACTTATCTTCCCCTGTGTTCACGTCTGCCGTCGATCCGTCTTCAATTATTGTCCAGTAAACTGCAGTGTGCATTACCAGTATACACATGCACAGGTTCACACCAGGTCACAGCTTATTTGGTTTGTGATTGGCAGGTGACAGAGGAGCTGCAGAGCGGACCAATGAGCACAGAGGAGAAGGAGCTGCTGCACCTGCTGTCCTCACCACATTTCAAGGTAAACACGATTTTATCTTTTGGTCATACAGTAGTATGAAAGTAAGGAGATGTAGCAATAGTATATATTCATGTGGCCAGCTTTCCTATAGACAATAATGTTCCTCTCTGAAGGTGTTTGTAGACATCTGGCTGCAGTCCCTGCTCCCAATGTCAGAGCCGTATTCTCAGCACGTCTGTCTTATGTCCCATCAGGCCGTGCTCTCGGTGCATGACACGGTGGCCCAGAAGAACTTTGATCCTGTGCTGCCACCGCTCCCCGATGACTTTGAGGACGAGCTGGATGAAGAGTCGGTGAAGATTGTGAGGCTGGTGAAGAACAAAGAGCCTCTGGTGAGTTACATTACATTATATGTCACTTGTTAGACGCTTTTATCCAAAGCCACTTACATACTCAATACTGTGGGCAATCCCCACAGGAGCAATTTGGGGGGAAGTGTCTTGCCGAACGACATGCTGACTGCAGTGGGGTTTGAACCTGTGCTCCCCTGATCCGAACAGCAACGCACCTGTCCACTGCGCCACACACCTCCCCCTGAGTTGTGAAGGTTTAGAGTGGAGAACTGGATGAAAAGGATTATGGGATTCAGACCTTCTGCTTTTTACTGATCATGATGTTGTTTGATCTGTTCCGTAGGGAGCAACCATCAGGCGGGACGAAGCCACTGGGGTGGTGGTCGTGGCTCGGATCATGAGAGGAGGAGCAGCCGACCGAAGTGGTAGATGATGCTTCTTTTCATTTTGTCCCTCTGGGCTTTCTACAAGCTGTGTCTCAACAATAGACTAACAGCACCGTTAGTTCCAAACCTGAGGGCTTAAACAAAGACAAGGGGTAGTTAAATTAAAGTAGTTAAAGTAATTAAATACATTTTACCTCCCTAGTGCTTTAAAAATGTTCCAATAAAACATTCTGCGCAGGGTTAATAACAATTTAATCACCACATTTTTTACTTACAGTTTATGGACGTGTACCCTATGACGAGGTGTCCCTAGTAGATATTGCTTTGTGTTAAGGGGCCACGAGCAGTAACGTTTTAAACCCTTAAAGATGTGCAAATCATTTTTTTGGTAAATGTTTTGCTACTGCCCAATCATTTATGAAATAGAAAACGCAGAAGCAGGAAATGCAAAAAAGTTTGCAGCGTGAAAGTCGGCCAATACGCAGCCTTCATGAAGATGAGCTGCCAAAACACCTCAGGAGGCTCCGGATTTGTCCAGCAGTGTGATGGCATTTTCCTTCTTGCAACCAGTGGAAATCAGTGACACTTTTTCACACAAAATATACTGTATATGCAAGGCAAGGCAAGGCAAGTTTATTTATATAGCACCTTTCAACACAAGGCAATTCAAACAAATGAAAGACATTAAGAAAATGGCATTCAAAATCAGTCATTAAAAAGAAAAGATAATAAAATAAACATTAAAAGAAAAAATACATGGATAAAAGTTACAGTGCAGTCTAAGATATGAATAGTTCAATTAAAAGCAGCGACAAAAAGAAAAGTCTTCAGCCTGGATTTAAAAGTAGTAAGAGTTGCAGCGGACCTGCAGGTTTCTGGGAGTTTGTTCCAGATATTTGGAGCATAATAACTGTACGCTGCTTTACCATGTTAAGTTCTGACTCTGGGGAACAGAAAGCTGACCAGTCCCTGAAGACCTGAGAGATCTGGATGGTTCATAATTTAGCAGGAGGTCCAGAAATGCATTTGGGTCCTAAAACCATTCAGTGCGTTTATTAAACAGCAGCAGTATTTTGAAATCTATTTCTTTGACACACAGGAAGCCAGGTGGTAAAGACTTCAGAACAGGAGTGATGTTGATCCACTTTCTTAAGTGTTAGTGAGGTACTCGAGCAGCAGCGTTTCTGAATCAGCTGCAGCTTTCTAATAGATTTTTTAGTGAGACCTGGAAGACCCATTACGAGTAGTCCAGTCTACTGAAGAAAAAGCATGGACAAGTTTTT